TAAATTTGATTCAAAACCTTCTAAACTTCTTAAAAATCAAGCATTTACAAGAAATCGCCGCCTCTGAGCGGTCATTTACCGAGGTTGAGCCCGAAAGTGTCGGCCACATAAATTTTGCCTACTGTATATAGTGTAGTCCGCAACTTGATAAATGGCGCCAATTACACAACGGTAGCCATTTGAATTGCCAAGGACCACTATCTCCGAGGAAATCTTTGTTTAGAAAAGGAGAGTGATGATTAAGTGTTGCAAATTGAACGCAAAGTTTTCGAACAAGGTGAAATGAATTCGAGAGCGAAAGGAGAAGAGGACAGAGTGGGTTTACCTGGTCGCAAAATTCCACGAACTGGATTTCACGCTCAATTCCAGTAACTTCAGGATGGACACGACTTTCGGGCACAATATCCTATAAAATAGCTCATTTAGATGCAATTTTGGAATGGTAAAGTACACGACCTGTTTCTGTTGACTTTGGATTATAGGCGCTGGTTTAACTGCTGCAGATCTGGTAGCTTTTGCTATCGGCTTGGCGGTAGCACGTTCAGCAAGCTGAAAAATCGATAAAAAGTTTTCTAGAGTGAAAAAAGGTGTCAGCTTGCTCAAACCGCTATATTTGCTCCATTTCGTTGGTCTTTTAGTGCTGGTCTTCTCGTCAAAAGTGCTTCTTTTCCAGCAGCTGTTCTCTTTACTAGATTTTCATTGACATTGGCTTGAGCTCGAGTGGTTCTCTGGAAATTAATCTCAGATTTCTAAAGGGCTTTTTTTGCGAAGATGATTGACTTACCCTGCCTTGAATGTCCATTTCCGAAAAAAGGGAATAGCAGAATACGAAGTTTCAGATGATTCTGTTAGTTTGCTATGACAGAGTAACAGTCACTGTAAAGGTAACACAATAATTTGAGAGGGAAACTCTATCTCTAGAGCAAGCTATAAGGTCCGCTTGATTGGACAGAATTTAGTAAAATGAGTCGAACTTTTCATAGGAATTGATTGTAAACATAAACTTACGGATAAGGGAAAGTGTCGTCGACGGGGGATTGACGAAGAGGGTTTGGAGGGTTCAAGACGACGTATTTTTTTCCTGACGAACGGAGAGAAAAACTCCTCTCGCGGACAGTTTTTCAACTCAAATTAACCGCCGCCCGAGAGATGGACGCTGACCCGCCGCCTCGACCTGGCAGAGACGCAGATTTCGATGCGCGGCAGTTTGAATCCATTCCGAGGGGCCACAGTATTCACGGGTAATCGTCAGCTGAGGGTTATAGAACAGCTGTAGATTTCACGGTCCGTTCCAGATCCATAGAACTCCTTCTACAGCTTGTATACCAACCTAATTACCCACTTACCCCAGCAATTTCCCCATGCTTCCCATAAAAAGATTAACTTACCACCGAAATTTGCTCTGTTATGGGGTTTTATAATGTGAACTGGTAGCGCGGAACAGTTATAGATATCTTCCTTAC